TGATTTTTCTGGTAACTACTCTTCCTCTAAGCAGCTCGGTGACATACCCCATCAACAGTTGTGCTGATGACCCAAAGCCAACATCTCTTGGCAGTTCAAATCCAACAGCAGCTCTTTGGGAGAAAGACAGAAAATCTCTTGTGAAATTTGCAGCCTTGGAAAACTACTGGAAGGTCAACTATGAGTCAGTTCTTACTTGATATCAATGAGTTTTAGTTTTTATTCTTCCTCAATCTTTTATTTCTGGAAAGTCATTATAAAAGATTTTTGGGTAATGCTGTATCTCAAGATTTTCTAGGTACAATTTATCACATCTTATATTTATTTGTCTGTAATGGCAAAACCCCTTCAGGAATAGAGTAGACATCATGTATAGGCCAGACTGCAGAGATAAGATTGTTGTCCTTGCAGTATATGGTCCAATTTAATACCAAGGTAAAAGATACTGCCATTTGAAAATATGGCTTTTGAAAATCAACATGAATTCTAGACTCATGTCAAGACTAAAATGGAGTTAAGATTTTCTGTTATTGTTGTTAGGTGCTGTTAAGTCAACTCTGATTTGTAGTGATCCTTTGAACAATAAATCTGAACTTTGCTTTCTCCTGAACCATTGTCATTATCTCTTATGTTCTTATATTCATTGTTACAGTTACTATGTCAAATCCAATTCATTGAGAGTTGTCCTTTCCTTCACTGATCTTCTACTTTTCCAAGAACTCTTTTTCCAAAACCTGATCCTTCCTAACAACATGTCCTAAGCATATAAGACCAAGTTTCACCACCTTTGCTTCTTAGGAGTACTCTGGTTATACTTCCTCTAAGACAAAATTGTTTGTTCTTTTGGAATTCCATGTTGTTGTTTTTGTTATAAGTACTGAGTGGGAGCTCCCTCATAACTGACCCTCCAGTGGGTTTTCAGAGACAGTAAATTGTGTAGGAAGGAATTGCCCATTTTTCTCCACTCTGACAATCCATAGTGTATTCAACACTTTTTTCCAATGTCACAATTAAAAATAATCAATTCTTTTTTGTTCTTCCTTATTCATTGTCCTACTTCTAGATGCATGGGAAATAACTGAAAATACCATGGCTTGGATCAGGCAAATCCTTGATCAGGCCTTTTGGAGGTATTTGGCTGAATATTTTCCTAATGCAACATGTCTTTTGATTTCTTGACTGCTGCTACCATGAATGTTGGTTATTGATTTAAATAAAACCAACTCACTGACAACTTTAAGATTTCTTGCTTGTTGTAACCCCAGATTTATGTTATGGTCTGATCAGGTAATTGGTGTCATTCATACATATGGCTTAGCTTAAAAGAAGATTTAGCTCTTGGCTATAAATCATAGAAGCAGATAGGAAAAGGACAACAAAATAATTAATTTAGCCATAAACTTCTGAGAACAAATAGGAAAGCATGCTAAATAGAAGAATTCTAAGAAAAAGAAATAAAGGAATTTTAATTTGATGAGAAAACTACTACTGCTAAGTTAAGAGGAGGTCTTCTTTTGCCTTTTGACTCTAAATTCTCACCATTGAGCCAATAGGCAATGTCATGGTAGATGGAGAAAAGATTGAAATTGTCAGTGATTTCATATTACTCAGATCCACAAACAATACCCATAACACCAGCAGTCAAGAAAGCAAAAAAAATATGTGGCACTGGGGGCGGGGTAGGGACTCCTCTCAAAGACCTCTACAAAGTGCTAAAGTGCGATGATGTAAGTTTAAAGGCTAAGGTGCACCTGCAATTAGCCATAATCTTCAAGTACTTACTATGCATCTGAGAGTTGGACAATGACTAACAATGATAGAAGAATAATCAATGCCTTTGAGTTGTGGTGTTGGAGAAAAGTACCAAATATTTCATGGACTAGAAAAAGAACAAACAAATATGTCTCAAAGAAAGTACAACCAGAGTGCTCCTTAGTGAAAAGGATAGAGATCAAGTAATCAGATTTATTATCTTGCTAGTTCTAGATTTTTTTAAATCATGAAAATTTTCTTTTTCTCAATAATTTGGTGAACCCTTATGAAATACTGCCAATTTAGAAATAAATTTATTACATCAGTAAGTCAAGGAAATCTCCTATCTTCATATCTTTTAAATCTATATGCAGGACAGATTGTCCAGGAGGCTGACCTTCATGAAGAGAAGTGTGGCTTCAAAATTGGAGGTAGACTCATTAACAATCTGCGTTATGCAGATGACACAACCCTGCTTGCTGAAAGTGAGACAGACCTTAAGTGATTGCTGCACAAGGTCAAGGACTGCAGCCTTCTATATGGATTGAAGCTCAACATCAAGAAAACAAAGCTTCTCACCACTGGGCCGATTGGCAGCATCATGATAGATGGTGGCAAGATTGAGACTGTTAATAGCTTTACTTTGCTTTGCTCCACAATCAACACTCTTGGTACCAGCAGCCAGGAAATCAAGAGACAAATTGCATTGGGAAACTCTGCTGTCAGAGACCTCTCCAAAGTACTGAAGAGCAAGGATGTCAGTCTGGAGACTAAGGTGCACCTGATCCAGGCCATGGTCTTTGCAATTACTTGCTATGCATCAGAGAGCTGGACAGCGAGTAGGGATGATAAAAGGAGAGTTGATGACTTTGAGCTGTGGTTCTGGAGAAAGGTCTAGAATAAACCATGGACTGCTAGAAGAACAAATAAGTTCATCCTGGAGAGGGTGAGGCCAGACTGCTCCTCAGAGACAAGAATTCCCAAGCTTCATTTGATATGCTTTGGACATGTTGCAAGGCAGGATCATTCCTTGGAGAGGGATGTCATGCTTGGGAGACAACACAGGAGAGGAAGACCCTCGATAAGATGGATTGATTCAGTCACTGGGGTAATGGGGATAGGTGTGTTGGAGACAATAAGATTGGTAAGGGATAGACCAGGGTTTAGGGCTGTGGTACAAAGGGTCACTATGAATTCCAGGCAACTCAGCAGCACATAACAACAATAACAATCAAAAACAGCTGGAACAGTACATAGATCAGGAACTGCCAGAAGTTCAAGCAGGATTTAGAAGAGGCCATGGCACCAGAGACATCATTGCTGATGTCAGATGGATCTGGGTTGAAAGTAAAGAATATCTGAAGAATGTTGGTTTGTGCTTTATTGACTATGCAAAGTCATTTGACTGTGTGGCTCATAACAAGTTGTGGCTGACATTGGGAATAATGGAAATCCCAGAGCACTTAATGGAGGTAATGTAAACCCTACACCTGGGCCAGGAGGCTGTTGTGTAAACTGAACAGGGGTTTTAAATTAAGAAAGGAGTGCATCAGGGATGTATTCTCTCTCTCTACCTATTTAATCTGTATGCTGAGCAAATTATTCAAGGATCTGGACTCCGTGAAGAGGAATGTGGCATCAGGATCAGAGGGAAACTTATCAATAACCTGCATTACACAGATGACTTAACCTTACTTTGCTGAAAGTGAGGAGGACTTGAATCACTTGTTGCAGAAGATCAGGGAATGCAGCCTTCAATAGAGATTGTATCTCAATGTAACAAAAAAAACAAAAACCAAAGATACCACTGCATCAATATGCAACATCATGATGGATGGAGAAGATATTGATATTGTCAACAACTTCATCTTACTTGGATTCACAATTTACAGGCTTGGAACAAACAGTCAGGAAATAAGGAGACACATTGCACTGGCAAAGTCTTCAGTTACAGACCTCTACAAATTATTGAGGAGTAATAATTTGTGACCTGGACAATGAATAAGGATGATAGAAGAATGTATGCCTTTTAGCTGTGATGTTGGAGAAGAGCGCTGAACATCCCATGGACAGCCAACAGAATGAACAAATATGTCTTGGAGAGGGTGCAGCCAGAGAGTTTTTTGGAGGCAAGAGTGATGAGGCTTTGCCTCACACTCTTTGGGCATGTTGCTAGGAGGGGCTATTCCTTGGAGAACATGATGTTGGGAAGGGAGGAGGGTCAGAGAAGAAGAGAAAACCCACATCCAGGTGGATTGATAGGGTGACTGCCACAATGGGCTCTGATGTGTCAAGAAGAGTGAGGATCACACAGGACAGAACAGGGTTCAGATCTTTTGTTTATAAGGTCACTATGATTCGTACTTAACTGAATGGCAGCTAACAACAGTAACAATCTTTTTGCTTTAATTTTAGCAAAAACTTTAGTTAGCTTTTTGACAAAAGCTTCTTTAAATGTTTCTTTTTTAAAAAGTAGGCTGTTTGAAATAGGGTCACATTTATTCTTGATTTATAGGAAATTTCTTTCTATGAAACATATATGTGATTTCACAATATAAAAAATCATATTAAGGTGTCTATATTTTATTTTGTGAGCTGGATGTGTGACTTGATTCATTTTTCTATTCATGTATTTGAAAATTTCCTACTGATTTTAAAGAATATTCACTGTCATATATTATACTTCTTTATTTTTTGTGTTTAAAAATTATGTCCATTTTTTCTGTTCAGTATACTTGCATTTTTATACAATCAAATATAGCAACAATTGCCTTTTATTATTTGCCCATTCATTTCATATTACAATTTTTTAAAAAAATTTGTGAATATATAATTATTTGCTTATCCTTATTTTTATACCTTGACTTTTCATTTTTGTCTCTCAAAGTTATATAATATTTATTTTGATAATGTCTAAAGTCTAACCTTAACAATTCTATCCTGTGACTTGTTTTTTTAGACAAATTCATTGCCACATGCAAAAGACAATCTGTGTGTGGTTAAAAACTGTCAGAAAAGGGAAAGCCTACTATTTGCTGCTGAGAGAGATCAGGAGGGAATGCCAACCTTGCACTCTGAGAAAGACAGAAAGCTTGTGAGACCAAGAAGTGGTCCTATCAAGCTCCAACTCTTACATATTTTACTATAATTTTCATTGTAATTTCAAGAGTCAGTTTTAAATCCATTCATTAGAATCTGAGATAGAAAGTAAATTTTAATGCAGTTTTTTTTTTTTTTTTAATTCCTAGATATGGCGGTCTCAGCCAGTGAAGCTAGGAGTGACATTTGAATCTGCCATTCTCTGTGACATTTCCCAAGGCCTTTCTTATACCTGGAGTTTAACAAAGTCTAATGGATCCCTTGTACCCCTCCCCTTAGCTATTGACATCCATAGGCAGTCCTTCTCTCTTCCCAGCTATCTTCTAGAGTATGGAAACTACACAGCAGTTGCTAAGGTTAGTAAACTAACTAGAAGCTGTTATTAAGTATGATGTTTTTATTATAACTTCTGCTAAAGTTAGTTGCAGACTGTTTATAAGAAGTCTCAGATAATTTCAACATAATCTCAAATGTTTAACCAGCTGTATAAGTCCATAATTTCTATTAACAGCTCCATCCATGGCTCAGTCCTCCCATTTCTTTTTAGCTTTGGGTTCAATGGTTTGAAGGCCCTCTGGAGACTCAGACACATCAGGGGAATGACTCACATGATTGTAGGTATAAAGGCCATTCTGGGTTTGTTTTTTTGGTGTTTTGTTGGGCTTTTTTGTGTTTTTGTTTTTAAGAAACTGAGCTTTTTTTTTTGTTTTAAGTAAATGCCTTTCCAAGTGAAATCAACCTTTTGGCTTGTTCAGAAGATGAGAAAAGGAGGGGAAACTGCTCTTTCAATTTAACAGTTCTGTTTATAATGAAGTATTTGGTTAGATAGCAATTCCACTAATAAGTTTTATGTTATCAGAAAATAATTGTAAACATCAGTACAGTACTCTTAGTTATGGCAAAGACAATTGTCTTGAAATAAATGGATCATATTTTGATGCATTGTTTGATGTTCAAAATAAAATGTTAATAACAATAAACAAATGTGAACTGGAAAAAAAAAGAAACTGGTGAATAGTAGGTCAGCCTGGATGTAGCTGGATGCTTAGTCCATTATATATGGTTTTTAAGACCAAACATCTTCCAGCAGGCCTCGGCAAAGTTAATATAGGCACACTGTCAATCCTGTGTTGGTAATATATTGATCCTACAAGTGTTGATAATCATTGCCATAGCAGGGGCTAGGAAGGCCATTTTTCAAGGGTCCTGACACCTCATATTTGTACAATGAAACCATTCATTTCCATAAGTCTGTTGGGCAAATATTCAACATTTTAACTCTAAATATTTTCAATTAAAGAAAAATGAATTTAGTTAAAAATAGTGTTGATATGATTTCAACAGAAATGCTTAGTCCACTTGAGAGAACAAATTACACCAAACACTGGCAAAAAGTTTTACTCAGGGGGGAGGGATTGTATACCAGTGAAGGAATTTTTCTTTTACTTTTTGGAGAGAGGAGCAAACTGGGGGGAGGGCAGGGAGAAAATGCAAAAATGAATGAATGGAAATCCAAAATTTCTGTAAATGTTCATTAAAATTAGTAAAATTAAAGAAAATAGAACAAAAAAAAGTTCTTTAAAAATTCCTCTGGTTAACCAAACTTTTCTGTGTACTAAAGTGAAATAGCACCATAAGCCCAACATTCAACCTTATGATAAATGGAGAAAAGATTGAAGCTGTCAATGATCTTATCTTGCTTGGATCAACAATTAAGAACAATTAATCTTTGGTACCAGCAGAAAGGAAATCCAGAGACAATATTGTGTTGGGCAAGTCTGCAGTCAGAGACCTCTCCAAAATACTGAAAAGCAATGATGCCAGTTTGGAAAGTAAGGTGCAACTGATGCAGGCCATGATCTTCTCAATCATCTGCTATGCATCAGAGAACTGGACAATGAATAAAGATGGCAGAAGAAAAATTGATGCCTTTGAGTTATGACACTGAAGAAGAGTTCTGAATGTTCTTGTTATTGTTAAGTGCTGTTGACTCACAGGGACTCTATGTACCAAGGACCTGAACCTGGTTCTATATCTATTATTGTTTCTCTAAGTTCATAGAGATTGCAGAGGTAGGTTTCTTAGGAAGTGGTTGCCACTCCTGCTTCCAAGCCTATCTTAATCTGGAAACTCCACCAAACAATGTCTAAAATGTGTAACCAATATGGCATTTGACACACCAGTGGCACAGTGTTCAGCATAACAGTAACCCCAAGTTACCTTAGTACAGCAAATTGACAGACCACGCTGTGCCACTTAGAAGAATGTTAGTCCCAAACACACAACACCAGTGGTCCAAAGTCCCAACCGACATTTAAATACTAAGGCTGTCCACCAGATGCTGGCCCACAGCTCACTGTTAGCAGAATCCTGAAAATCCAGTCAGCTCATGCACAATTGTGAAAAACAAAAACATAAGACCCCAAAGCCCAAAACCCAACCTAAGAGTCCACACCCTACCCCCAGTGAACACAAAACATCCCACCTTCCAGAATCCAACCACTTCACACATTAGCCTCCACATTAGAGACTTAGGGCCCATCCGGCTTTTAAATACCAAGGCTTTCCATCAGACCCTGTTGACTCTAAACAAGCTCTGAATGTCCTACAGATTGCCAAAAGAATAAACAGATATAGCCTGGAAAGGGTGTGGTCAGAGTGCTCCTTGGAGGCAAGGATGAGAAAACTTATCTTAACACTCTGGACATTTAGCTATATCAGGCTATTCTTTGAGGCATCATGCTTGGAAAGATGGAAGGTAAGCAAAGAGATATATTGACACTGTAATTTCAGCAGTGGGATTTAGTCTCTCAGTGAAGGTAAGAATGGCATCGAATAGGGCAGGGTTTAGAATGGCTATAGGGTCACTATGAGTCATACTTGATCCAATGGCACCAAACAACAACCAACATACTGGTAATAGGGATTAAAGAAGATTACATGTCTGTGTTATTATAGAATTCCTTACATACTTGGGTCATGTTGTTAGAAGGAGTCATTCCTTGGAAGAGGACATCATGATGGGAAAGGTACAAAACAGAAGATAACCCTCAATGAGATGGACTAACACAGGGACTTAAACAATGGGCTCAAGTATATCAGAGATGTTGACAATGGAACAAGATGTTCATATATGTTGTTCACAGAGTTGCTATGAGTTGTACTCAATAGCACCTAACAACAACAAATAACAACCTAGAAAGCAGAGCAACTCTGTTCAGAAAGTAGTATCACAAAAGGTGTCCTTGTGGCTGAAAATTGGTGGATTCAGAAGGGAAGAACACTGCTACCTGAGTAGGCTTCAAGGGGTTGGGTCAGGGAGAGGAAGAGGAGACAGTTGATGAGGAGGATAAGATGTAGGGAAGGTGAGAGCTTCAACTCTAGGGCACAGGCAGGGAGTGTGGAATCAAATTGGGCAAGTGGTGAAAACATGCTGAGGAGAGAGAGACCAGACAACCCTCCCCCCAAAAAAAGTCCAACAAAAGCCTATCAGCAGGAAGGATTTTCCCCCTCCCCATCCTTTTTTTCCAATCTGTTGACTAGTTTAAGGTTCTTTGTGGCTCAGCACTAGAACTCATCAACATCCTCACTGGTCTAGACTTTGTTCACAGGAACAAGTTTGTAATTAAGTGTTTTAGTCCCTTGGGAATGTCAAACATTAAAAATATATGGCAGATTGTGGGTGAGCAATTGACATGACAAGCTGGCTGATTAATCGTAGCGTCTGTAGGAAATTCTAAGGACTATGAATGTTCCGTCATTTACCTGATGAAGTGGGATGCCTATTTGTGCTGCTATACACTGTGGCAATGGGTAGGTTTTCACAGGCTGATTTTTTCAAAAGTAGACCTATGAGCTGCTTCTTCCTAAGAAGCTCTGCTGAAATCTCTTTAAGTGTCACAACTACATGACAGATAGGTAATGGTAGAATATGACAATAAGCTATAAAAGTATTTGTGCACGGTGCACAAATATGGAATAACATAAAGCACTTGGAGGAAGGAGAGGCAATTAAATCAAGTCTTTGAAAAATAGAGAAAGGGGTTCAGCATGGGCATTAGTGAGCTAAAGGGCAAGAGGAAAGGGTGAAATGAGGCAGGAACAACTAAGCTTTGTGGGATTGAGTGGTGGGAACAAGACAGGAAACAATAGCAGGGGTGAGATTCCTCTTGAAGGCAATAGGAAGGAAAACATGATGGAGAAGAAAACTTAGGGTGAGAGCATGTCTTCATAATTGATTAAGTGTATTCAAATTTTAGGAGGATGTGTCTAACAAAGGCGTGAATCAAGGCTGGTAATTGAGATATATATCTACAGAGGGAGAGTGGACACAGTGGAGTTGTGGGATCAGTATCCTACCTCAGCATGAGGAGTGGGATAAGAAAGGGAAAAGAGACCAGATGTGGAAGCTGGTAGTTGTAGATGACAAGAAAAGAAGCATAAAAAGAAGCTATTTACTTGGTTATTATGTGCAAAATAATGGAATCCCTGTGTAGCGCAAATGTCAGCTAAATGCTTGGCATTTGAAGCCCCATTAGAGATGTCCTAAAAAACAAGCCTGCTGATAAACTTTTGAAAAGGCACAGCCTTGAAATCTCTATTAAGTAGTTCATGGGTCACGAAGAGTAGGAATTGACTACATGGCAACTAACAGTAGAAAATTGATGGCAGTTAATAACAGAAACATGTAAAAGGATTCTTATTTCACTTAAATTTAACTTAACATTAGTTAAAAATGGTGAAAATACTTCATTATATTCTACAAAATCACTTGTTCCTTCAAATATGGGAGGTTTCCTGGAAGTAGATTACTAGGATGGTAGTTGTAAGCCATACTGAACTTCCCTTCATCCTGGATTACAGTTGAAGAGAAAATGGGGAAAGACTTCAATAGATGGTATCTGGTCAGCCTTCTAAAGAGCATTTCTATTAGAAGTCATTGTATGAAGTGTAATATCAGACTTGTAGGTTCATAAATACCATCATCATTTTAGGCAGAAAGCACCATCTCTAAGGGACTAGGTCAAGGTGTGTAAGGTCACTGTCAAGGACTCTAACTCAGCGAGTTAAGGGTCTAGACAGGCAGCCTGGTCCAAGTTCTCCTTTTCTATATACCAGCTCTGGGAGAATGCAAGTAGCTGGCCTTAGGAGAGTGGGAAGAGCATGGAAATGATCAGCAGAACCACTCTTACAGGTATGAGGGACTCAAAAACCTACCTTGTACAGAAATTATGTTTCCTAGACTATGGGCAGTTTGAACCACTAGCACCATCAATATGAAAATATTCCCAAGATTACATGCTCAAAAGCACCTTCACTTAACACCTTTTCTCTTTAGCTATGTCATTGCACATAGGCCAACTCCTGACCAGACTGATTCTAACCAGAAAAAACTTGTAACTTGATTAATATCTGAGTCATAGTGTACAGCAACTCAAGCCCCATGAGTTCGCTGCATTTATAGTGAACATTCAGATTTCCAGAGCTCATAACGGCCACTGTCAAGTATCTCCTTATATCATCTTTCATCTGTCCTCTATAGACTTGGAACATTTCCTCTAACTTCTTGGGCTTAAACCTCAGAGGAAGCACAGATTCATGATAAAAAATACAGTCTTAAAGTACCAAGCCTGAGTGTAGTGTTGTTGTCAGGTGCTGTTGAGTCAAATACAACTCACAGCAACCTTAAGAACAGCAGATATGAACTCTGTCCTATTCTGTACCATCCTTATCATCTCTGATACACTTGAGCCCGTTGCTGCAGTCATTCTGTCAATGTATCTGGCTGGGGATCTTCCTCTTTTTCACTGATTCTTCACTTCATCTCCCATACTATGGCCATGTTGCTTGGAGAGGTTATTCCTTGGCCATCATGCTTGGAAAATTGGAGGAAGCGAGACGGAGAGTCGACTTGATGCCATCTAACAACAGTAACTACCTTTCTAAGCATGATATCCCTTTCCAAACATGATACCACTTTCCAAAGAATAGTTTTTTGATTGAGAGTGAGACTCAAATAACCGTAGTCAACAAACCAATGAAATAACCAGTCAAATTAACACACTGAGAGTGAGACTCAATCAAATAATAGAGCTCAGGACCATAGTTGTAGGGAAGGAGAGCATGGTCAATTGGCACAACATAATTTATAATGTTCTATATCCCATTATAGTAAGTAGCAATTGAAGTCTTAAAAGCTTGTGAATGGCCATCTAGGGTAAAGTTATTCATCTCTCCTCATTCAGCAAAAAGAAATACAAAGGAAATAAAAGATGTATGTAAACAACTTGTTCAAAGGACTGACTACACAAACCTCAGTGTCCATTACTCTAAGACCAGAAGAAATGATGCTGCCCAGCTACCATTGCTGACCATTCTGAAAGGGATAATAATAGAAATTCTCAGGTCAGGGTGTTTGGGAGGAATGTGTACAAAACTAATAATTATTTATAAAATTATCAGATTTACTGGTTGGATAGAAATTGATGAAACCCTTGAAACTTTAGCCCTTAACTATCTTTCAAGCCTGTGGCTCAGTTTTCAGCTCATCTACAGACAGGTGTCTAGTGCCATAGTCATAGTCTGTAGGGAGCTGTGGTGCTAACTAAAAGACCACACCTCTCTGGGAGTTTGAACCTACAAGGAATTCTGCAAGAGAAAGATGGGCAATGTCCTCCCATGTAATTTACTGCTTTGGAAACCTAATGGAAGGTGAGTTATAAGTTGAGACAATGAAACTGAGATAGATAAGTGTATACAGTGAGCAAAAGCACTAAAGAGTTACACATTTCTTGAAATCATAGAGACAGAATGTGCCCAAGAACACAGCTCAGGAACCAGAGAGGGCTAAGAAGGAGGGAGGAATGGAAATGGAAGCTTCGTAAGAAGTAGTTTGAATGATACTATTCAATGAGAGTTGCAATCGATTGCACAGAATAAAATGTGAGTGGCATCCACTTCTTAAACAACATGCCTCTGGAAACTCTATGAACTTTTTCATAATTCATGAGTTTAAAATATTTCTCTTAAATTCCATTTCTATTTCTCAAATGTCATGATATATTTGAGGTCTGTAAAGAAGTAGTAACTAACAGAAAGATATACCACACAAAATCCAGGATCATGAAAAAATTTAATGTAAGCAAGAGTAGTTTGAAAACTACCAAACATGTACACACATGGAAATTGTTATGTAAGGAAAGTTCCTGCTGTGTGTATTAACACAGGCTTCACTAGGAAAATGCCACCATTTCACTGACTCAAGGCATGTTATCTCCCACAGGACATAAAGCAGGCTGTTCATTTTGATAAATTTGGTGTGTCATTGGTTGAAAACAGGTTTTTTTTCACAAAGCCCTTGAAGTCTTTAGTTACAGCCAATGAAGTATTTAGACTTGTCAGTTTATTCTCTAACGTCAAGGGTAACTTCTAACTTCGGTCCACATGCTATGTTTACTAGGGCTGATTTGAAGGACATAAATATATTTTCTCACAATTTTGGAGGCTAAGAATCCAAATCCAGGTGGTGGATGTCAATGCCTTCAATGATGTCTTTCTTGTTGGTAGCATTGGTCGGGCTTTGGTTCCTTGTTTAGCAGATGATCCTCACATGATGCCTGTCCTTCCTCACTGGTGTATATGTTTCTGTTTTTATTCTGTTCTTTATATAGATCTCAGGAGTGATTAGATTTAGTCGTCCTATTCAGGTATAGCATAATTAATACAACAAAGAAAACTTATCTGAATAACACCATATCTACCATCATGAGGACCAGGAATCCAGTGCATATTGGGAGGAGGGAAACGCAATCCAATCTGTTAAAAAAACCCAACTTGTCACTTGCATCACAGGTTCAGATTGAAGGCAGCGTGGTATACAGCAACTACTCCGTAAAGGTGGAGGTTCGTGCCAGGGCACCTGTCAGTGTCATCTCAGAGGGCACACACCTCTTCATCCCCAAGACCTCTTCCACCATTATCCTCAATGGGTCCCAGTCCTATGATCCCGACTATCCAGGCATGCCCCTCAGGTGAGCCCCAATGACACAGCTGTATCCTGTGTCCCACACACAATGGTGAGGCAGGTGTATCCTACACTCATTCTATCACATCTTCCTCTAAATTAAGGCTCTGGAATTCAGAATTCTTGATAGTGGACTCCTCCCCAGTTCTATGCTTTCATTGCAGTATCTGACACATTCAATGTGATTCCCCTCACTAGATGAAGTTGGGTCATGCTGATTTCTTGCTTGACTCAAAGTCTCCTGGGTATCTTTGCTGAATGCCTTTTGCATTCAAGATTCATTCAAGTCTGTCTTGAGGTTGGGAAGCAATACTCCTGACATAGTTATCCTGACTTATTTACTCACTTGTTGGAAGACTGGACAACTTTCCACAGCTCAAAATCTATTTTATTCTGGAAATTGTGATAATTGCATATTATCTGCTATAGACTTATCAGAAGGATTGAATACCCTTGACTCTGTGAAGAGCGTTAGAAGCTGGGTTCCTTGAAGGGACGGAGGCTCTAGAAGAGTCCTGCTCTCAGGAGAGAGAGCAGCTGAGCAGGACTGGCACAAGTAGACAAAATTGAGGGACACTATGAGGTGCCTGGAAAGCTTAGGCTAGCGGGGACTAGAGCAGAAGGAAGGTTGTGTTCCGCGTTATGGGACCTGTGGGCCTTGAGCTGAGTAGAAGCCGGGCTTGCCCTCCCTGCGGCCAGACTGAAACCACTAGTGAAGTTTCCACTTCTGCTGCTTTCTAGAGAGAGAGAGGAGCAGCAGCTCTTCCCTTCCCCTGTGCTCTTCATGGGGACCTGGGAAGCTCTAAATGTCCATGACCCTGTGCTCCCGCCCTCCCCAGGTACCAGTGGCTGTGTGCTCCCACCATGGCCCCTGGGCACCCCTGCTTCACTGCAGAAACGCCTGGAGGGCTGAACGCTGCCACTCTGACCATCGCCTTTGTAGCCATGGACCTCAGCAAGGCCTATGACCAGTTCCTGGTGACACTGATCGTATCCAGTGGTAGCCGCTCATCTGCCGCAGCGGAGCTGTTCCTGTCTCTCCGCTCAGAGCCTGAGCTCAGGTACAGCCCCACACAGACTCAGGAGGCTGCCATTATTTTGATGGCTCTTAATCAAAGGCGGGGGGGGGGGGCATAAAGACGCTTCTGAAAATTGGGAAGTAATTAAAATAATTGCATTGAACAAGTTAAATATTTTCTTCCCCAAAATAGAATGCATTGTAAAATTTTATTATTCACAATGCAATTACACCATAAATTCGTCAAGTACTAAACTTGCTGAATGAATACTTCTTTCAATCCTGTTAGGCTATATTTAGGCCCATATTGTCAATGTCCTTGTGAGAAATGGGACCATACTACTCACATACCACCAACCCCAGACTCATATGAGGGTGCTCATGCACTCTCACATACGCTCATATACTTGCATGTACTCTAACATGCCTATGTAGGTTCATCATTCACACACCGTATACACAGACACTTATTCACGCAGAACATATAAGCCAGCAGTTTACTCCTTCTCTCTCATACACACACATGCACACACACACGCGCACACATCATATATACACACACACACACACACACACAGTAGGATAAGCAGAATTTTTTCAGTTCCCTGTTCTGCAGGGACCCCTTCAGGTCTTCTATGTCAAGAGCATCATCCAACGCAGAGGTCACCAGTGTGCTGTGTGGTGAGCTTACCTTGGAAACAATCCACACCAAATGCCACCTCACTGTCTACTGGCTTGCCTTTTAAAGGCCACACAAGTAGCACAGGAAACACATTTTTATTCATGCTTAACCACACAGTGATGTGTTGAAGAACTGATAGTTCACAAAATGCAGTGTGGGAAATGTGGATTAGCATAAGAGTCAAGACATTACCCAGAAGAATGTGTGTTGCCATGACAGAGGACAGAGTGGGTTTCAGATTATATGGGTGTGAGTGGACATAGAGGAGCGGGTGAGGTGGGATGAATCCTTTACTGCTGAATCTGGTCTGACTCTGAATATGACCTGACCAGAGTGGACAGTGATGGCACATGCCTGGGTGAGGATGTGTTTGTACAGTATCAGAGGGTGACACTGCACTCAGGACAGCCGATGGACCAACATAAGATGAGGCAATGTGAGGAAAGACATGGAGAAGGTGACCTGAATTTTGTCAGAGCACAAGCTGAGTAGTGGATCAGGCAAGGCTCCAGCAGTCCTGGCTCTCTGGCTTCTAGGTGGTCTGAAGAAAGAAAGAAAGAAA